AAACAGCTGTGCTCCCAGGCCAAGGGAAAGCACTGCTTAAATATACTTGGGTCACATAATTCAGCTTTCCAGAAGTGCTAGTGATCTTTTGTCAGTGTTTTTAAACATCAGTTGGTGTAATCAGCATCTAGCACCAACATCCAAGCATGTCCCTGCCATACTAGGAGGGAAAAAGCTACAATAATGAGTTCTGGCCTTAAAACCTTTTAAAGGTTGAAGTACAAATCAAAGTTCACTCGATTATTTCCACTAAACAAACACCACTGCAGTCGCTTGTAATTTTTTTTCTATGCCAAATTGCCAACTACAACCTTCCAAGCATCTCTAAATTTAAGAAGCTGCTTTAGATCCCCCAGTATCTGAAAAGCTTTCCAAGCTGAAGACAATGTAATTCACCAATTATGACTCCATCACAGTTTCACAGCTCCCTAAAAGAGAGATTTACAGGAAGCTCAAACTACTTAACATTCAGTAAATATGAAACTCAATCCCTGAAAATTTAATTTAAGAATCAACTTGCTTAGGAATATCTTTTCATTTCTTCATTTAGCTGAGCAAAGTCAACCATGTGGACAAAAGCAGCTCAGCACATGCACACCCAGATGCTAAGGCTGCACTATAAATGTTTGATTATAAATGTTAAAAACTAGTTTCTGGAAGAAAAACCCCAAACAATTGCTAGTTATGATTAGTGGGAGGAGTCAGTCATAACTTCAGCAAGGGAAAACTCAAGTCTTCTGAGTAGCTTTGTCCCATCACAGCATACCTGGCACCAAGGGCAAATCCACAACCTCCCATTACAATCAGCATACTAGTTTTATGATGAAACTGAGGATTTTTCTACCCCAAAGTACTGTGTAATCAATCTCTCCTGGTTTATTATTCACTATCAGTCAACTGTGGATTACGCAGCAAAATTTTTTTTTACTTTGACTTTAAAGCTTCAGAGATCCTCCCTCAGCTTCTTGTCAAATATTGGGCAATAATCTGATTTCCCTGCAAATCTGCATTAAAATTCCACAGACCAAGTTCTACCCTCTGCTGTATCCATCTCTAGAAGAGTGAATAGGAGGGGAAAGAAAACACAGCTCACAGTTCCAGCTAAGATTGCTGTTGTTGTACAGGCACAGAGCTCAAGATGCTCAAAACTAACAAGAATTATTAGGAAAAGAATAAACTATTCTGCACAAAAGTCAACAGATCACTTCCATAAACAAGGGGAAAGGTATCTGCTGAACAAGAAGGTCTCTTTTTCACTCAGCTACTTTTCAGAACAGAACCACACTTGAAAGAAGAGAAGTGAATTATCTTTTTGTCTCACATTTACAGAGAAGCGTGAGGCAAATTCTTCCCCACTGAGGGACAAAACTAAAAGAGGGAACAGTTCTTCCCCAGGAGCCTTTAAAGGAGAAAACATCACCAGCTCCTCACTTGTTTTCAAACATACTATAGAGGCAGTTGGTAGGAGGCTCACCTGAGTAACTAAATCCCAATGATCTGGCTGATATTTCTGTTGGTTCATTGGACTCTATTTCGTACTCTGGTTTTGAGACCAGTTATACAATTACCATCCAAAAGCTGTGCACAATAGAAGCATTAGTAAGACTGACTTGATCTGTAGCAACAGGTGCCAGGAAATAGTCTGCCAATTTCATGCCATTTTACTTCCAAAGCCATTATACTAGTTGGCAGTTTACCAAACTGAAAGCTATGTTTTAACCCCATGAAGCCTGAGTATAATTATAGTAAACAAACAACAAAACTACACCCCAAGTATTTATGATACAACAGTTTGAGAGGTGAGCTCCTACGCTACATATTCCTGTGTGTCCAGAGTGCCACATTCAAGGCTCTTTGAAAAATCAGAATGAAAGAATTTAAGTCACAGAAACCCACTTGGTTCTTAAGTCACAGAAACCCACTTGGTTCTTAAGTCACAGAAACCCACTTGGTTCTTCAGTCACAGAAACCCACTTGGTTCTTCAGTCACAGAAACCCACTTGGCTTAAAGTCTCCACTAAGCTCCACCATTAATACTTTGAAGTTACAAAGAGAATATATCAGTGTTAAAGAATAGAAAAACAGACCTCTATGAGATGGAAATCAGCTTTGAAAACAACAAAGATAACATATTAAAATAGAGATTGTCTCCATTTTAAACATCAGCTGGAGTCATCAGCATCCAAGCATGTCCCTGCCATACTAGGAAGGAAAAAAACTAAAATAATGAGTTCTGGCCTTAAAAACCTTTTAAAGGTTGAAGTACAAATCAAAGTTCACTCGATTATTTCTGCTAAACAAACACCACTGCAGTCACTTGTAATTTTTTTTCTATGCCAAAATGCCAACTACAACCTTCCAAGCATCTCTAAATTTAAGAAGCTGCTTTAGATCCCCCAGTATCTGAAAAGCTTTCCAAGCTGAAGACAATGTAATTCACCAATTATGACTCCATCACAGTTTCACAGCTCCCTAAAAGAGAGATTTACAGGAAGCTCAAACTACTTAACATTCAAAAACTGCCAACTATGACCCTCCAAGCATCTCTAAATTTAAGAAGCTGCTTTAGATCCCCCAGTATCTGCAAAGATCCTCTCTATGTTATGTATTTTTCCTGATTTGACTGGGAAGAGGTCAAATTCCTCTATTCTATTCCTAGACACTTTTCCCATTTGTTTTCATTTTCTCAATGACCAAAAAAAAAAATTACTAGGTGTTTTGTGCCCATGGCACAGTGGTTGGTGGAACAGACTCCACACACGCTCTGCCAGTACTACCACTCTCATTATCACCTCTACTCAGTGTAAGAAATAACTCCAGGAGCTCTTAGCAACACAGGGCATCCAGTCAACTAAAGATGACTAACTGCAGCGTGTGAAAGGCAGGTCAGGGTACAACCCAGGAGCCTGAATCAAGCACGTAGGAAACGGCTCTCTGTTCTTTCACTATCGAAATTTGGTGGCCAGACTCCAAGTTCTTTGGCAATATTCTTCTCTGCCGCCCTCTCTGACTGCGACTGCACTTCCTGCAGTGAGCTCTGCTTTTCCACAACACACCCACCCAACGCTGCTTCCTTTGGACAGAGTTCCCCATCCACCTAAGCTGCTCTCAACTTGCACTTCACAAACTTTCTGGTTTACTCCAAATAAAAAAAAAGTCAAATTGAAATTTAAATGCAAAGACTCACTGCAGACATTCCACTTGTTGCATACAAATCTATTAGTCACAGGATAATGTCACTACAACAAGAATTGAAATTGTCCCTACCAAATCCAGCCCAGAACACCTAAATAAGAAAAGAAATCTTATTTAATTATTAAGAGCTGGTATTTCATTATATGAGCTGGTAATCCTGCTAGTCCAGGGTACAGTTTCTAGCAGCAGAAAATGCCAGTTCTTTACATAAAGGGGCAAGAATTTCTCTAACAGCCAACTAGAGTGTGACATATGCACGAAGGAACTGCTTCCCACCCCAGAGAGTAGGTTCCTTAAAGCATAAAGCATATTTCTTATTTAAGAAATCTTATTTAAAATAAGAAAAGAAATCTGGACTGGATTTGGTAAGGACAATTTCAATTCTTGTCCTTCTCTCCAACTTCCTTCAGCTGTTCCATAAGCATCCTGGAGAAGTTTAAACCTAATCCAAAGAACATCTTTCTCCTGGGAAAGGAACACCTTCCTTCTATCCATCATCAAGATCATTTCTTTTAATTGACAATCATGGTTTTAACAAAGTGCCTCATGACATCACTGTGGCATTTTCTTTATATAATGGGAAGCTCTGCAGAGTCTTTTGTCTTCTGAAGGACTTACACAGTCACACACACTGAACCAAACAGCTGCTGTGCTCCAAACAGCAAAGGCTCCACAGGAAAAGCAGGAAGGCTCTGCACACTGTGAGACCATCACTCTCTTTTAAGGAGCTTTACTTTCCAAACCTCAATCATTTCACGCTTCAATTGCTAAAACTTTATTTTGTGGCTCCTAAATCTCCTCAAAATAGAAGTGGGGAAGATGTCAACTACAATAACTGTGTGTTACAAACACATACTGCTTCTTTGACTTCTCCAGTAAGTTCCAACCTTTCACTGAACTGCACCCCAACCATTGTCTCCTCCACACAACCACTTTTGTCACCTTGTCCCACACTCAGAACATCCTGCTACACGTCTTCTGTACTGTTCCAAATCCTTCCCAAGGAGCATCTCCCCCTGCAGTGCCTATATTTCCCCCTGCACTGCCTATATTTCCCCCTGCACTGCCTATATTTCCCCCTGCACT